TCGGCAAAGATTCCAAAATGTGAAAAACTGAAACATCTCTGGTCCCAAGCATTCTAGATAAAGGGATACGCACCCACCTGCAGCCCCTCCTTTCTCCATCAGCATCTCTAAAGATGATCCCAGGAGCCTTCCTCCCTCTCTCCGGGAAGATCCTTTACTGGAGGCCACATGCCTGTGAGAACCAAGCGCTAGACCAGGCCTCTGCCTGGCTGGCTGATGCTGGACGTGGCTCTCCAAGCCAGTTTCTACCTTTGAACCAGGAAAAGAACATCCATTTCTCTGCCCCGTAAACAGATCCTAGACGCTGTGAACTTTGGGTTTTGTGGGGTGCTGAGCCATCCCTCTGTGGCTGCCTGAGTTGGTCCCATACAGGCGTCCCTTCCCTGAAGGCTGATCCGGCCCTGCCCACGGCACGCGTGGGAGCAGCTCCTGCCCAGGCCAATGGCCGGAAACGCCACAGTGGCTACTCTGGCTGGAGGAGGATGACACCTGGGCCTCAGTGCAGTTTGTAGGAAAGGAAGGATGCCACGGGGTCAGATCGCATGTGGGGGAGATTTGGTACAGAAACTAACACAGGAATTAAGGTGGCAGAAACGTCACGTAAGGTGAGGCATGTGTCTCCTGGCCTCTCATCTATCTCAGGTCTGAACTTCGCATAGCATGAGGCTGCAGTGCTGAGACTCAGCCCCTCCCCGGGGGGCCCACAGCCTACGCCACTCACTCTGCACGTGGCATTCTTGGTTTCTGCATCTTTGAGCAGAATGCTAGACACATTGGTTTACCCTCTGCTCAATATCCCTTTAACAAATCACCGTGCAAAACATTCCAGCCGGGTACAGCTCCCCCGACGCCGGGACCCCATACCGGGTCCTCCACTCCCTTCCCTCTGCCGGGTTTGATTTGACCAACATCCAGAGTTCACTTCAGAAAGGGCAGGGTGAGAGGAAGGATAGCATGGGGGTCCCTGGCCTGCGCCAGCCCTGGGGCAGACGCCAGAGGGTCCAGCCCCCCCTGCGAAATCCTGCTTGCCCTGCCCCAGCACCCATTCTGAGCCACAGCCAGACTCTGGGAGGGCCGTGCTCAGAGTTTTCCAGCCCCTGGGCCTCAGGAGTGAGCCCTCCAAAAGTTGGTGGCGAGGGCTCACTAGCAGCTGAAGGCTGTTGGCATTAGATAGAGCAGTCCCAGGGAAAAGGCTGCTTGAAGCAATATGGGAAACCCCAGACTGGTCTTTCTGCAAAAGCTGAGTCACGCCAGCCTCCCAGAGCTTCTGCGGGGCCACACTCGCCCCAGCACCGGGGCTGGGGAATCCCTGGGGTCGACTTGCTGCTCTTCACCATGGCTGTGAACATGATTTGCACCCCCCTCCACCCCACCCTGCCCGGCTCTGGTCCTGCATCTTGCCATCTCTCCCTTCTCCTCCAGCAAGACTCCTGCCCTCACAACCCACCGGCCCTTTAAGTCCCAGCACCTGGGAAAGGCACCTCCTGGGCAGGGAGCCACACAGCCAGGCACCACCAGCCAGGCCCTGCTCTAGGCTGTCAGGGCACAGAGCTGAGTCTAGGCAGAGAGGGGAGCTCTGTGGTCGGTGCTAACTTGGCCAGGAGCCACCAGCCCCTGCGCTGTGGCCCTTTGATGTTGGCTGAGAGCCCTGGGCCATCCCTGCAGCCCCAGTTCCTGGGGTACTAACTGCAGGGAGGGCTCTGTGCCCCTGGCCTCCCTGCCACGCAATGGTGTGCGTTCACTCTGATTTTCCACCCCAGGCCTCGGGCAGGCGTTGTCACTTTCTGTCCCAGGGATGAGGGGAATAGGGTGGCCAGGAAGAAGGAAATCCTTCACTCTAGCAATCAGATTCCCACCAGTACTGGGGCGGGCTCCAGTTCAGGGACCAGGAGGCACCATGGAGCCCATGGGCTTGTTCCCAGGGGAGCAGAGGCCTTGTGCAGACCTCGCCTCTGCGGTGTAGGGGGATGAGATGCCTGGAGGGGCAGGAGGGAGAAATGGCCCACTTGGTAACAGACATTACCGCGTGTCAGCCCTGGCCAGCAGGGTACAGACCAGCTCTGCCCCTGCCTCCCCAGCCCTGTCCTCAGGCCAGGAGGACACAGGCCCCTCCACCCCTCATTCCTTCTGCTTCCGAGAGCACCTGAGCTTCAGTGAGACCACAGCGGCCCGGCTGGGGAACGAGCGGCACCTGGAGCGAGCCCACCATCAAGAAGAGCGTGGAAGTGTCCGGGGCGGATGGTCGGAGTAGGGGCTTCAGGGCAGGGGGAGGCGGTGGGGGCAGCTGGCGGGGAGGGGTGAAATTCCAAGGGTGCACTGAGAAGGGGGCTGGGGTGGAAGGGGAAAAGGGCAGTGTGTGGCAGCCCCTCTGCTCTTATCTTTCTCCCCATGCCCCTTGGGAGCCGCCATCCAGCCCCTGGCCTGAAGCACCCACAGGGAGTCCATCCACCCCACTCCCAGCAAATGGAGCTGCTAGGGGCCTCCGACCGCACTGCCGGCTAATCACAAGCCACGCTTCCTGAGCGCGTGCTGGGTGCCTAAGACCTCGCGTTTCATGTATTCACAGCCCGCCTCTGAGGAACGTACTAACATCTCCTTAATGACAGGACATCGCGGCCCAAGAAACTTGCTCTGGGGCCTCAGGAGAGGGGGAGCTGGCGGCTAGCTTTTCTGGGGGCAGCCCTTGCCAGTTACAGCCATGAAGCTCGTCAGGAATAGAGCTGAGAAAACAAACTCTGAAGGCTGAGCTCTTAACCACCAAGCTAGAGGCCTCCCGCGGTCCTGTTGACCTCTGCCTGGGAGGCCGCCCAGACCCCCGTGCCCATGCTCTCTCTGCCCTCCAGATGCACAAATGCTTGTGGTCAAAACCACGCCCTGCTCTTCAGTGCACTAGTGTCCCTTGTAGAGTTCTCTGTCCTGACTTCTGCCCCGTCACTTGGGAGTGAGTTCTGTGCACTGTCTCTCTGTCTTCACCCAGGGATGTGAAGGGCTGATGACTGCAGAGACGCTGGATGGGACAGCATCAGTCTCGGCACTCTTGGGAGGAGACCCTCAGAGGAAAGCCGGGACCCCGTCAGACAGAGCTAGCAATACACCAGGCCCGGAGCTCCCAGTCTGTTACTGCAGCGTGCCTGCAGAAAGTCTGCCATCAAGACGATGGTGGACGTCTTCTTTCTTCAGGTGCTGCTGCTACTGCTTTGGAGCCATAGGAACGCTGCAATCTCCTTCCACAGACAATGTGCTCTCCAGGTGCGTGGAGTGCCTCAGCCAACAGGCTCGGGCTGCAGCCACAGAGGCCACGTGCTCCAGGCACTGAGCCAGCGGTATTGGGGTCTGTCCCTTGCTCCTGTAACAGCATCCTTGGCCCTGAGCGGCTGTTGGTGTGGCAGCAGGGCCCTATCAGATCTGCTTCACAGCTGACCAGTTCTCCTTCCCTCTCTCCCCTCCCAGGGGTCCGATCCCCACTGTGACCTGAAGGCTGTCCCTGTCCAATCCCGCCCCTTCCTCTTGGGTATCACCTCCCACCCAGCTTTCTCTCAGCGTCTGCTTGCCTGAGGATGGAAACTGACACTCTGTCCTGTGCTGAGTAATACCAAGAGGAAACCCAGAGGACTTTTCTTTTTTGTTTGTTTGTTTTCATTTTAGAAACAGGGCCTCACTCTGTTGCCCAGGCTGGAGTGCACTGACAGGATTACAACTCAGCACAGCCTCAACCTCCCGAGGTCAAGTCATCCTCCCACCTCAGCCTCCTGAGGAGCTGGGACCACAGGCACACATCACCATGCCTGGCTAATTTTTTTTATCTTTTTTATTTTTTGTAGAGATGAACATCTCACTGAGTTGCCCAGGCTGGTCTTGAACTCCCGGTGGCCCAGTCTGGTCTTGAACTCCCAAAGGACTTTTGAACAAAAATGCTCGAACTCATTGTTCACCATGGAAATGCAAAACCAAAATAACACCGAGGTATCATTTTATACTATTAGACTGGCAAAGCTTTGGAGGCTAGATCCTGCCCGGTGTTGGCGGGGATGCAGCAGGGTGGCCAGCAAGCCCTGCTGTGGGATTAAAGTGTACCGCCGGGAAGACCTCACCACAGGCCCAGCTTAGACAGGAGCTCTGTCCCTACGGTTCGGTCCCCAGATCTCTCTCTAAGGAAACCCTCATTTAGGCTCAGAGCACCGTGTTTGAGGATATGAATGAGAGTGGTTTGTCATGGCGACAAGTTGGAGGTCACTGGGAATCCATATTTTGGGAAGCAGGTGGGCGAAATGCGGGGCCGCCCACAGTGGGGACCCCAGGGCACCGGAGCCACAGGTGCAGCAACGTGGGGCGACCCAGGATGGAGCTGGGTGGAGAAAACGTGCCAGCTCACATCTCAGTTAAAACACGCACATGACAACAGCACACTCGCCCCTGAGACTGCACAGGAGCCAGTCCGTGGCGCGGAGGGAGCCAGCAGTGCGGTCTCATTCGCCATCCGCAGTCCAGCTTCCAGCCCTGCGCTGTCCTCACACGAGAGTCCCTCAGGTGTGCGGCAACCTCGACTCTGCACACCCCGCCTTGGACACCTACAGCGCAAACAGGGACCCTCCCAGAGCTGTCCCCAAGCCCCTCCCCTGGCCTGTGTGCGGGCGTCTGAGCGGGTGGAGGCCAGCCCCAGGCTCTGCTTCCCTGTGAACCGGGGTCTGGGCCGAGTCTGACCTGGAGGCCCGGGGCCTGGGCCTGGGCCAGAGCCGGAGAGGTCACATCATTCCAGGAGTTCGGAAGGACCCAACACAGCTCCCCTGAAGCTGGCTGTGACCTGGGCCTGTCAGAAGCAGCCTGAGAGGAGGGTCACAAGTGACCCAGACCTGGGAAGGAGGGAAAGGTTTGAATTTTGCAAAACAAAACAAAACAAAACAAAACAAAAAAAACAAAAAACCTTTGCCCTTTTCCCTTGACCATGGGGGGACAAGATGGGCGTGAGGCCTCCCAACCATGAGAGGAAGGCCACCTGGCGAAGCTGCAGTCCCAGCATTATCTGTATGTTAAATTGATGTTTTAAATCCGAGTTGCATATCCAGGTAATTGAAGAATAAATAACAAGCACAGAGGGCTGGTGATGGGCTGGGCCAGATTCTCTGCAACCCCCTTTCCAAACCTCTGGTTCCGTGAGGACCAAAAATGACCACCCCAGACTATTCCAGAAACAGCCTGGGGATTCTGAACGTTTCCCAGAACACAGGCAGTGAAAGGGAGAGAAGCTCAGCCCTTCCGGTGGGGCCGGGTGGCTCAGAGCAGGAGGCGATGCAGATCCGGGGGCGCCACAGCCGAGTACCACAGACTGGAGGCTTGCACAGGAGAAGCGGGTTTCCTCACAATTCTGAGCGGAAAGGCAGAGCTACATGCGCAGGCAGGGCTGGGTTCCCCGGACGCCTCTCTCCCTGGCTTGGAGACAATGTGTTGTTCTCCCCGGGCCCTTTCCTGTGCGGGTGCCCATGTCTCCATCAGGACACCAGTCAGATAGGAGCAGGGCCATCCAGTGACCTCGCTTAACCTTAATCACCTCCGGAAAGTCCCTATCTCCAAGCACAGTCACGTTCTGAGGTCCTGGGGATCAGGGCTTCAACTTACGAATTTTGAGAGCACTCAAGTCAGCCCATAACAGTGGACTTTGAAATAATCTTTTAGGAACTGGACTCCCCGAGAATGCTTTAGAAAATGCCAGCCTCGTTCTGTTGCAAAGGGGGAACTGAGGAAGAGGGGGCTGAGTTTTCACAGGGGGAGGAGCCCAGTGGCAGGAAGTGACAGTGAGAAACTGCAGCAAAAAGCAGAACCAAAGGCCAAAGGTGACTATGTGGTCGCCAGTTCGCCTTCCCCGTCAAACCTTGCTGGGTTTGGTGTTTCATTTTCATTTTCAAAAACATCATTCAGGCCAAATGCAGTGGTTCATGCCTATAATCCCAGCACTTTGGGAGGCTGAGGTGGGAGGATTGCTTGAGCCCAGGAGTTGAAGACCAGCCTGGGCAACACAGCAAGACCCTGTCTCAAAAAAAAAAAAAAAAAAAAAGGCCAGGTGCAGTGGCTCATACCTGTAGTCCCAGCACTCTGGGAGGCTGAGGCAGGCAGATCACCTGAGGTCAGCAGTTCAAGACCAGCCTGGCCAACATGGTGAAACCCCATCTCTACTAAAACTACAAAAATTAGCCAGTCATGTTGGTGGGTGCCTGTAATCTCTGCTATTCGGGAGGCTGAGACTGGAGAATCACCTGAACCCGGGAGGCGGAGGTTGCAGTGAGCAGAAATCGTGCCATTGCACTCCAGCATGGGCAACAGAGCTAGACTCCGTCTTAAAAAAAAAAAAAAAAAACCCAGGCGTGGTTGTGCACGCCTGTAGTCCCAGATACTTGGGAGGCTGAGGCAGGAGGATCACTCAAGCCTGGGAGGTCAAGGCTGCAGTGAGCTGTGATTGCACCACTGCACTCCAGTATGGGTGACAGAGCTAGATCCTGTTTTAAAAAAATAAAGTCATCATTCTCTCATGTGTGTGTATGTTGTTTCATTTGTTAATTAAGGTATAATTTTACATACAGTAAAACTCACCATTCTTACTGCAGAGTTCTCACAAAAGTGTACAATAGTGTGGCATCCACCACAATCCCTACATAGAAGAATCCCATCATCCCCGGAATTTCCCTGGGCCCTTCCATAGCCCCCCAGTCCCTCACCCCCTGAACTGTTTTCTGACACCCCGCCACCCTTTCTTTTTGAAGTGGTTGTTTTGCAGGAAACATCACCTTCTCTCATTTTACAAATACTGCAGATAGATTTTGAAGCCCAAAGCATCATAGAGGCAGCAAATCAGGACAGGAAGGATTGAGGTGGGGGGACTCTACCCTGACTGTAAGAAGCACTTGAGAGACCTGCAAAAAGCGAACAGGAGAGGCAGAGACTGGGAGCGCCAGTTGGTACAGGTCCTGCCCTGCATGACAGGGCCAGTGGCCCCCACAGTGATTAGGATAAAATCCAACTGCTCACCCAGGCTGCTGGAGCCTCCCTGCCTTCAGGCCGCCCCACTGGCCCCTTGCCCACTGTGCCCCACTGTCCAAGCGCTCGCCTGCCCTGGGAGGGACCCCTGCAGCTTCCTGTGCCCAGGTGCACGTACCTCTCTTTTCCCATCTGGGCGCCTGCTGACTTTGCACCATGAATTTGAACACCACCCTGCAGATGACCTGGCCTCAGCCCATGAAGTTTCCCTTTCGTCCTCTGCAGGGCACCAGTCCCTAACGCCGTCTGACCGTTTCCCTGCTCACAGGATCTTCCATTTGCTTAACCCCCGAAGTGCGAAGCCTGAGTGAAGAGCGTGCAGGAAACAAGCCCCTGTCCTCGTGGAGGCTACATTCCGAGAGGGGAGGCAGGCAACACACACACAAACGACCCCATAGTATGTCATGCTGCGATGCCGGCTGTGGAGGAAAATGAAGTGAGGCCCGGGGAAAGCCAGAGGCCATGGGGCTGCCGAGGAGGAGCAGGGACGGGGCAGAATTTGCCTAGAGCAGGGCAGGTCACGTCGGACTCTGCGGGCCACTGAAAGGAACTTGGCTTTTATTGGGAGGATGTTAAAGGGTGAGTGACATCCTCTGACCTTTTATAAAAGAAGCAAGAGTCTAGAGAGCCCAGGTAGAAGTGAGGGCAGCAGGTGGAGGCCCCACAGCAGGCTCAGGGAGTGAGCCCACGCCAGGGCGTGGAGCAACTGGAGGCTCCAACAGGGCCGGTGGGAGTGCCGAACGGTGTGCATCACCTTGGAAAGCAGGCAGTTTCTAATACCATGAAGCTCGTCCAGCCCTATGTTTCGCAGTTCCAGTCCTAGGTATCACACTCAAGAGAAGTGAAGACGCCCACAAAAGGCTCTGCAGTAGCGCTGTCCGTGAGAGCTGCATCTGGGGATGCATGAATTGGCCTGTCATTCCAGCATTTTGGGAGGCCGGGGCAGGAGCATCGCTGGAGCCCG